TCGGAGCAACTGCCAGCAAGGGAAAACTCATCGTCAACAGTGAGTCATGAGCCTTTTTATATACCCTTCGTAAATGTCCCTCTTCATTCGAAACTTGAAATAAAATTCAGTTGACATGTATAAAAAATAAAAAAAAGTATGGATACATTCCAAAGCGGTTTGGGGTACAGTATAAAAACGTAATTTTTGGGTATGGTAAAACAGTTTACAATTTGAAGTACTGCACAAGGATCGGAATCATTTTTGGATTTCTGCCACTTATTGTTTCATAATGCTCCCCAGAAATTCGAGATAAGCCTGTTGACTTGTGAAAATTTTCAAGATGCAAATTTGTCGGGAATTTTTTCTTCATGTTCGAGCATTCCATGAGCAACTGTATTGCTTCATAAAACGACTTATTTGAAAATACCGCGGAGATTCCAGGATTCCTCGAAACATTCCATTATTCTTCTTGAATAAGACCCGGGAGTCGTTATTCCAAAGTAAATGAGTACAGTTTCTTTTCTATTTAACAGTTGAAGGAAAACGTGTGATACAACTTGGAATCTTTAGATAAAATTAGGAGTTTTTTTTAACAACTTATATGTAAGGCATGCTATTTCGTAGGTGAAATAAAATCTCAGCGATGCAGGGAAAGAATGGCAAAATATTGGTCATGGAACACTGAGGGAATAAATGTATCCATAATCATATTTGATTGCGAAAAAAATGTTCAAATTTTCATCAAGGAAAGTGAAAAATGAATTTTCTAAAACGTGCAATATTTGCCATTTTGAAAGCCCGATATCCTTCTTTTCCTTTTCCAAAATAACCAAATAAGCCTTATCCAAATAAGCCTGTTTCCAAGACTATGTGATTCTCATGTTTTTCAGAATTCCAAAAGTTTATTTTGAAAGCAGCCGGAAGAGTTTTCTCTCCAAGAATTTATGGATTTAACCTTGGGAAGCTTGGAACGCTTTATTTTTTTTAAATTGAGTTATCGAGGGAAGATCCCGACAATTTAACGTGTGATAAATCCATCAGCAAGAAAAGTCATTAAAAACAACCGATCGTTCAAATAATTAATTTCCATGGCTATATATGGATTTAATTGAACTATGCTTTCTGAACTTACCTTTTGCGGATTTATGAACATTAATGAAAATAATAATCGCTTGAACACGGGGTTGAGTGTTTACTTGTCGAAGAACATAGAATCACCTGTCTCATTCAGAAAAACCTCTAAGATAAAAGAGAAAACAAAACCAAATCTCGAGAAGGAAAAAAGTACTGCTCGAGTACCTTTCTTTCCTCGCTTTCTCGTCAAATGATTATTTTTTTTTCGGAAAAATACGCTTAAGCTCGCTTGAAAGAATGATCTTCCGCCTGGGTGTTTACTGCTGGAGGAAGGTTTGATGTTTACGACTGCTGGGGCCAGGAATCAAGAGTGAGATGATGTTTGAGTGGAGAAACGGATATTTTTAGCCGTTTTCTCGCATTCCCCTAATGTTTGTGAGGAAGGCCCCTTTTTTCTCCGGTGCTATACTTGCTGAAAAGTCGCGTTTCTTCAAGAAAACCCGGAGATCTTTCCCAGTTCTTAGGTTTGTCTTCGGAGACTTGCACCTGAACCAAGTCTAACAAGTGTTTTTTTTCGAGGGGTTTTCAAAATCGCATTCAAGAAAACGAAACTTGAAAAAAACCATAAAATACGTAGAATGCGATGCAAACGATTCTCCCACGTTTTTGACGAAAATCCATTCCAACTCACGCTATAAGGCCCCCTTTTCAACATTATTTCGAAAATTTTAAACTTTCGATCTCAGAAGCAACATTCGGAAATTTTTTGTGCAAACGTTTTAAACTTTTTTTTTAACGGGAAACAGTTTTAATGGAAAAAATGAAATGCGGCAATCCGAATAAAGTTTTCAGTACGAATTTAGCATTTTATGTAATCCAGTTCACTGCGATCCGTTCTTGTGTCATATCTGGATTTACGGTAATCCACTTTTTAATTCAAACGAAAACAAATTATTCTGAAAATATTGATAGAAGACTCAATTTCTGTATTCAAATTTCGCAACCATTTGACATGTCAGCGGCTTTCCAAAATTACGACGGTTTTTAGTGATATATTTCGGTATAAGCTTTGCATTTTTGTGAGGATGATGAGCCCCAATGCGATGGAATCTTCTATCGGGAAAATTTGCTTATTGAAAAAAAAAAATAGATATTCCAAAGGATGTAAGGCAGAGCTTCTGGTCAAAATATTTTTGTT